TGTTACGGTTTAGGGTTTAAGGTTGAGGGGTTTAGGGTTGAGGGGTTTAGGGGTTTAGGGTTTAGGGTTTCGGGTTCATGGTTTAGGGTTTAGGGGTTTAGGGGTTTAGGGTTTAGGGTTTATGGTTCAGGGTTTCCGGTTTAGGGTTTAGGGATGAAATGAGGGTTTAGGGTTTAGGCTTTAGGACTTTCGTCTGCTGCAAGCAAGATACACGGATCTTCTTTTTTTTGGAAGGGTCCCGCCATCACAGCGGCGTCCCATGTCAAGTCCGGCAGTTTTACGGGCTGCCCGAAGCTTTAACCCTGTGGGGTGCCCTTTTTATCATCTCTTGGAGAGCAATCGTTCCGAAAGCCCCAAAAATTTTCCGCACGAAAGCCTGAGTCGATTGCCCGAATCCGAATCCCCGCGAAAGCCCAACCTTCCCCCAAAATCCTGCTCGCGAAAACCCCACGAAATCCCGAATCCCCACGAAAGTCCAAAATCCACCCCGCGACAACCCAAATCCGCACGAAAGCCCACCGAAGGTCCTCCGTGTTCACACAAACATAGTAGTCGAATTAATTTTGCTTGGCTGGTGCTGGCTGATTAAAGGTTTGCGTAAATTTTCTTGAATTTCAAATGACGTTGCTGCTGATAATACAAACAACAAAATGCTGCGCTGGCGCGCATGGGCGCAGCTCTTAAGAGTTTAAGATCTTCGTCTGCTGCAAGCAAGATGCACGGGTCTTCTGCTTTTGGGTTTGCGCCTGTTTTCTCGACTTGAGTGAGAGCGGAGTCATAAGGGCATGTTTCATAAGGGCATGTTAGTGAGTCTTCACATCCATGCTTTTTCCGACTGAATCTCCGATGCTATGGAGCATCAGAGTCAGAGGTTTGGCCCTAGATTGCGGTCTCCAAATCCCAGTCTCCGACTCCTTCAATAAGCTAGCTTGTGGTTTCAGTAAGGGCTGGAACCCAGCTGAAATATCCCAAAAAGTTTGCCACTCAGTAAACTATGAGTTCAGTATAGACAACCTGAGCCCTAAACCCTACACCTTGGAAACCCTAAACTTTCTTCAGGTACTTCCCGCCGATGCGGTGGTAGTGGGTGCCGGTGTGTTGCCGAACACCCGCTTCGTCGAGGGCTTGTCGCTGGACGGCTTGCTCATCTTTCGGAAGTTCCGGGATATGCATCTAAGTACATGCAAAATACTGTAGAATCCATAGAAACCGGAATAATTTCCAATAGCGTTCTGTGGGGTTCCAGAATATGATGTACTGTTACTTTAATATACCCCCAAAACCTTATTCTAATGGTTTGCAAGTCCCTTGTATAGAGTGTCAGGATTTCACGGGGCCTTAGCGCCCTGCAAGGTCTGGAGGAGAACATCCACTGGGATGGTTTTATGAAGTAAAGTAGTAGTGGGCGCATGCGTACTTCAACCAGTGCGTTAGGCAGATTTCCTGAAAACGCTTCATTGAATTACCGTGCTCGCCACGTCCCGTGATCCTTCAAGTAGTCAGGCATGGCAACGGCACGGCTTCCCCGGATGAATGTCCTTGCCGTCCGACAGGACAAAAACGGAGCCATCGTCGTGAACCCGCTGTTGCAGGCCTGTGTGCGACTGTGCTTCATGTCAGCTTCTTCCAGACGCAAGAAGTCTGAACAAGTACTGCCACTTAGCACTGCTACTATAAGTATAAGCAAATGTGCATGTGTTTGTATGTATGTATATATATATAATATAAGATACAGCAAAACCTTGTAATGATCAGCAAGGCCCGCATATAAGATCCTGTCTCCGAAACTGTCGACCGACCCATCAACCCAAGTTCCTCTCCTCTCAAGAGGGCCGGGTTGGGGTCATAGGCCGAGCCCTTAACATAGTGGATTTATGAATACATAACGGATTTATGAAATCGAACAGGGGTTTGGGGTATATCAATACTAGAGGCTACTAGAGCTATAGTACTGAAACCTCAGGGAAGAAAGCGTGTTGAATGCTGCAGTTGTGTTGTTTCGTGATACGAGAGCTGTGGTACTGGACCTTAGGGAACGCAGTTCTATTCTGAAGGTGTATGAATGCAAAAGCTACATAAATAAATACAGAAGCTATGCGAATGAACCTTAGGCAGTGCAACCTTATTCTAAACTCTACGGCCCGGTAAACCTCAAGCCCTAAGCCCTACACCCTAAACCCTAAACCCTAAAGCCCTACACCCGAAACCCTAAGCCCTAAACCCTACACCCTAAACCCTACACGCCCGTGCAAAAAGGATCGAAGGCGTTTTTAGGGCTTCCGAGGGCCGTGAGGTCAGGGGCTCCCAGAGAGCCCAATACCCCTTGATTAAGGAATATACTTTAAATCATAATATTAAGGCCCTTATATCTGAAGGTATATTCCTTAATTCCCTCATTGAACCCTTATAGAGACCCTTATAGATCCCTTTAAGGAACCCTTTAATTTACGGTATATTACATTCCTTAATTAAGGGGTAGGGTTTAGGGTTTAGGNNTTAGGGGTTTGAGGTTTAGGGGTTAGGGTTTAGGGTTTAGGGGCGACAGAGAAGGTCCCAGGCCCAAACCTGGCCGTTGTGGGCCTTATAGGATGTCTCTAGGCCCTAATCCCCGTCAGCCCTTAACCCTAAACCCTGAAAGCCCTAAGCCCTATGAGCCCTAAGCCCTAAACCCTAAAACCCTGCCCTAACTTAGCCCCTGAGCCCTCTTTCGGGCGCGTTGTAAGGAAGGTTTTTTGGCTTCTTCTGGACCCTAAACCCTAAACCCTAACGTTAGGGTTGACCCAGACCCGCTTTTTCAGGGTACGGGTACATGGCTGTATGGCTAGGGTCTGTTGCAGAGAAAATCAGATGCCCAAGAAAAGGGGTAGGGTGTAGGGTTTAGGGTTTAGGGTTTCGATACTCCACCCATAGAGCCTACCGGACCCTGCTGAACCTGCCTCTTCGGGGTCATTTTGGTATGCTTTGGAAGCTCGTACCCTAAACCCTAAACCCCAACAGAGGAAGGCATCCTAAGGGTTCAGGCAAACCTGAAGAGTGCTCTGAACCCTAAGGTGGCTGTAGGATTCGGCTCCCCGGAACACTGACCATAGAAGAGGGATCTAGGCACGCCCCTTCGGACCTTAGGAATTGAGTCCTCATGCTCTCTGTCTGATATTCCTTGACATGAAGAAGACGAAGACCTACCAGAACCTATGATTTTGGAGTGCTATATTAATCAGATCTGCAAACGGCAGGTTATGGTAGGTTAGGGTAGACTCGTGACTGCGAGCCAGGCAGAAGCTTGCGACAACCTCTTTGCAGCTGGTGACGTTTGTGCATATCCTGCCCTTCGCACTGGGCAGCGCGTGCGTACCTGAAACCGCAGAACAGGGCAACCCAGGGCCTCTTTTCTCCTGAAGTCAACCCTGAGGCACGATCTCTGTGTGTTTCTCTGCATGCCCAGGTCCAAGAGCAACCCTAAAACCCTAAAGCCCCAACATTAAGTCCTTAAGCCTTAGCCATGCTTAGCCCAAAGCTTTTAGGAGCTCTGGGAGTTCAGGCGTTTTTGCATTTCGGGCTTCGGCAGATGTGACGAGTCTACGTTTGGGAGCAAAAAAAAGGGGAACCGAGATTCAGGGGTCGTAAATATAAGGTTTCAGCGTTTAGGATTTTGGTGCTTAGGGTTTGATTTCAGTCCGGCGAAGACAGAGCGAGTGAGGGAGGGCCTGGCGTCGAGATAGGCGGGGTCTACCCGAATGCAGGAAGCTAAGCTTGAACCCCTACATCCGTGTGGGCCCTCGACTTCTTACAGCCGTCGGTACTTTTTCCTTCGAGCCCGGAAGACAGTAATACGGACGTGAGTCAACTTCAATAACGGATTAGTTGCGTGAGCCTGAAATACTTTGCCATGCTAGCCCTAGAATTTGCGCAAGTTCCTTGCTGTCCCAGACTCGGCTTGCATCCCTTCTTGCTATAACGGTCTAACCCATTTTGCAGAAGAGATCACGAGCATCAGCTGCACCAGTCTTCACACCAGACGCAGGCAGGAAACCCGACAAGCCCAGCATCATGAGCATCAGCTGCGACAGTCTCCGCAACAGAGAGCCGCATGCACTCCGGCAACAGCCCAGAGTCATGAGCACCAGCTGTGGCAATTTCCACACCAGGCGCCGGATGCATCCTGACAGGCCCAGCATCATGAGCATCAGCTGCGACGGCATCCATACTACACACAGGCAGGCACTCGGGCAAGCCCAGCATCACGAGCATCAGCGGTGACAGTTTCCTTCCTCTACTCAGCTCTAGCAGGGAGATCTTGAGACACCCTGGCCCTAACCCCAACAGGGACATGAACTTCAGATCTTCCAGTACTCACCCAAGGAGGGAAGCTCTTTTATTAATCTTATGTTAGGGTTTAGGGTTTCGAGTTTAGGGTTTAGGGTTAGGTCTCAGATGCTGCAGTAGGCCCTTCCCTTTTTGGCTTTCCACCCTAGGCATTGAGCACTGGGACGTCGCGATGCAGCAGGGCCGCGTGGCCGCGCAGAACATGCTCCTAGGCCATTCTTGAAAATAGTGCGTCGGTTTTAGTATAGCATATGTTAATATGTTTAAACAGGAACTTAAAGCCTAAAACCTAAACGGTTCTGATAATATGCGAGTAACCGAATTTGCAGGTATTCCGACTGGCGCCCTGCCTAGTGATTCGCTCAGCATTGCCGGAAGCAAAGAACCCCAAGCCCCAAACCCCAAACACCAAACCCCAAACCCTAAACCCTAAACCTTAAAACAACAGCCTCCAAGAACTGCTCAGGCTCGGGAAGTTCCAGCCCTTCACGACAACGCCCTTCTTTTGGTCAGGCCAGGGCCTCTGCTTTAGGGTCCCAACGGTTGCTGATATAAATCCTGCATTACCTAAAGGACCCTAGACTATGAGAATTCTGGCACCAACCGTATTTAGGGTTTAGGGAGTTTAGGCTTTTGGGTTTAGGGCTTTAGGGCTTTAGAGTTTAGGGGTTTAGGGCTTTAGGATTTAGGGCTTTAAGGGCATAGGGGTTTTAGGGTTCAAGGATTTAGGGGTTTAGGATTTGGGATTTAGGGCTTAAGTTTAGGGTTTTGGCGGGTTCGGCACTTGGGGTACGCGCGTTTAAGTTTAGGGTTCGGGTCTGTTCTTTGGGGGTTTAGGAGTCTCCTAGCGCTGCGTGCGGCTTTTGAACGAGGAGTTGTGGGAGCGAGGTCCCGTTGGTTTAGGTGAGCGCTTCAAAGGAAGGCCGCTGAACGTGAACAGGTTTCCCATTCTCTCTCGAGACTCGGCGAACAGATTGGGTGTTTTCAATTTATGAACCCCATGATAGACAGCTAGATAGTAAAGTAGTAGTGGGATCCTGGTTGTCATAGACGGCAGTGACGGTAGCATCCTTTTGCTAAGGATCCGTGAATACGGTGCCTCGAATTTGTAAAAACTCGCTCGCCGGACGTCATTGAGGCCTCTCCACTCCAACCTAAGTCCCAAATCCAAATCCCTACTGTAACTTCGGAACCCCTGAACCCTAAACCTAAAAACCCTAAACCCCTAAACACCTGCCATGCCTGCGTGAGCGAGTGTGTGAGTCGAAACCCCTAAACCCGAAACCCTAAACCCTAAACCCGAAACCCGAAACCCGGGCCCGAAACCCTAAACCCTAAACCCTAAACCCAAGGCCTTATTGTAAATTCGGAACCTTAAACCCGAAACCCGATCCGAGGGCTCTTCGGCAACCTGAACCTGCGCTTCGTCGGACATGCGCCCGAAGCCCTGGATCGCGTCATCATCGAAGGCATCGGGTTTCGACGATCCTGCGGTTCCATTTTGGGGTTTAGGGTTTAGGGTTCCATAGTAGGGCTCCTTCTAAGGGTTCTTTAACTTCGAGTTCCCTTTAAGGATTTGGGGTTCAAGAGCTGGGCAGTAAGGGCAGCAGTCGAGTCCTTGGGACAACAGGGTCTACTCAAAGGTTCAGGGGACAGGGCCTAGGGAAAAACATTGCATCCATACTTTCAGTGCATGTAACCCCAATAAAGGTACTTATTGATCCTCTAAGGTTTAGGGTTTAGGGGCTTGGCCGGGCGAGCTCAGTTCAAGCCTGTGGAAAAAGGGTAGTGCGATGTAGGATGCGTTCCTTGCTTCGCCTCTGAGAAAACCGCGAGCTAAACTCCTGCCCCAGGTGATGTAAGCAACATGGAGTTCATCTCATACTACACGGAGGACGACGAGATCCGAGCGGTGGCTACGGTCAACAAGGACGGTGCTTGCATAGCTTCGGCCCCAAGCAAGAAGGTCCGCTGGCTCCTGTTTTCTCACTGACTACCACTAGGATTTTAGGGAATCAGGGGTTGGGGTGTAGGGTTCAGGGTTGAGGGTTTAGGATTTTATGGTTTACCCGTGCTCTGGACAACTGAAGAACTACTACCTCGAAGGGAGAATCTCTCCAAAATCGCATGCATGTGGAGAGCTTTGCTTTGAGGTTGCATTGGCCGGGAAGCCAAACCCCATATCCCCCTTCCCTCAACACTAAACTTAGCTCAAAACCTAAACCTAAATTAAAACCCTAAGCTCAAAACCTAAACCCTAAACCGAACCCCCGAACTCAAAACTTCAGAAACCCTAAACTCTATCTATAAGCCTTACAGCTGAAAGTCTAGACCCTAAGGAACGGCAGGTCTGAGCCGCGGCATCCCTCGAACCCGAAGCCTCTACAGAAGAAGCCCAAAAGTTGGGAACCCAATAGCCTCAATCCTTAAGGTTTAGGGTTTAGGGTTTAAGGTTTAGGGTTTAGGGTTTAGGGTTTAGGATAATGTGTATATTAGGGTATCCTTTAAGGGATCTATGTGGCTACTACAAGGGTTCCTTTAAATCCTGAAGAGTAATGTTTGGGTTGGGGATTCCTCTAAGACCCCGAGCCTCCAAACCCCTAAACCCAAAACCCGAAACCCCAGGACCCGGTGGCTGTCGCTTGTGCAGGGCTGAGAAACTTCGACATTTTTGCAGGTCTCGCTTGAGGTTTCGGGTTTTTAGGGTTTTGGGGTTTTAGGGTTTAGGGTTTTTAGGGTTTGCGGTTTAGGGTTTAGGGTTTCGGGCTTTTGGGTTTTAGGGTTTAGAGATTGAGGCTTAGGGTTTCAGGTTTCGCATGGACTGGCTTCTGTTGGTTATCGCTTTTCAGATCTCCTTCTCAAGCTCTTGAGTGGCTTTTGATTTTTGCTATCGAAGACGAGGTGGCCAAAGCAATCTGCTGCAATACAGGATCCTTGAGGGAACGGTTTCACCACCAACATGTCTGCATGCATGCTTGCTGAAGTCATGTATCTTTCGTATGCACGTGCTTAGGCACGCAGGCAAGGATGCATACCACACGTATCATCTGTGGTTTTTTTGGCTGCGTGCTCACGCACCATTGGTGCCTGCACCCGTGCCGGCTCCTCCTTGTTCGTGGATTGGGTGGATTGGGTTAAATTTTAGAAAAGTAGACAAAGGAAGCCAAGCATATCACGCCATACTCTGGGCTCACACCACATCTTCCACACAGCTGGCACCCGCCAGCATTGCCAAGTTCCAGGCCCGGCAGCCTTCAACCCTAAACCCTAAACCGTGTATAGCTTGCGTAGCGAAAGACCTGAGAAAGAAGGCCCCAGCAACCCCTGGAGAGCAGTAACGCGCCTAAACCTTATATTAGGGTTTAGGGTTTAGAGGTTTAGGGTTTAGGGTTTAGTTATACAAGCCTAAACCCCAATACCCTAAACCCCAAACCCTAAAGAAATCCCTAAACCCTGAAAGCTCCCAAAACCCTAAGAATTCCCTAAACCCTAATAAGCCTTAAACCCTAATAACCTCCCTAAACCCAAACTCTGGCGTCCTAAACCCCAACCCCCGAGCCAAGAACCCCGGCTTAAAAGCAACTTCACCCCCAGAGCCTTGCGGTTTGGGGTTTAGGCTTTAGGCGGCTTTAGGGTTTGGGGTTTAAAGCTTCAACTCCACAAAAACGCCTTGAATACCCGAGTACCTCACAGGACCCTTTAAACCAAAGCAACTAACTCCGAAGCCTTACAAAACATTCCGAGGTGCCGAGCTCATGCGGCGTGGGCAGATGCCTCGTGTGGCGGAGCTCATGCTCGGCACTTCCGACGGATTTGTTGAAGGTTTTTTTTTTTGCATGCTGTTCGGTATTTTTTGCCCAGATTTTGCTTCATCTGTTTGCTTTCACCCAGTGATTCCTGCATGTTCTTCTGTTCGTTCAGACTATTAACTTTGTAATCTTCATTGAGTCTTGTTTTCAGTGTGTTTATACTATTTTTTGTTGTTATTGTTTCAGTTTTCAGTGTTATCAGTGTTCTTGTTGGTTTCAACACAAGCAGGATTCGTAGTAATGTGAGTATTATGATTACTGTCTGAACCCTTACGAAGTTACCAATGTTGTTATTGCTGCTCTTGTTATGGTTATTAGTGTAGTTATCATAGGTACTAACTGTAACTCCTATTTTACTGATTATACTCAATGACACTATACATACGTTTCCGTTGTGATGCTTTTTGATTCTGCACGGCCCTGATGAGATTTATTGAAATGTTTTCATAGCTTCGGTAAAGGCGATTTATAGGGTGCAGGGGCTTGGACTTTAGGGCTTATTAGGTTCAGGGTAGAGGGTTCCCCGGTGGATTAGTGCGGTGCAGCGGGTCACATCAATTTGCGCAGACTTTGGATAAGCATTGCCGACCGCAGGCCTTGTACCCTAAAACGCCCGAAACTTCAAGCCTGTAACACAAAAAGCCAGGCTATACACTCAAAAAGGCCCAGCCCAATCCCTACAGTCGCGTGAGCGCGGAAATCATCAAGCCTACATCTTGTTTTCCCATTTGGGGGATTCCCAAAACCCTCAACTCTGAAGTCCCGTCTGTTCTAAGGATCTTGCTTTAAGGTTTGCTTTCTTCTTGTGCGTGGTCCTACATGAGAACCTGCGAGTCCAGAGCCGGAGCCTCCACACGTGCCCACAATGCTGCACCCTGACATCCTAAACTCCTGCATGCCCTGACTCGGCATCCTATCAAACCCCTACTACGTCAACCTCACTAGATTTAAGGTTGCTGGACGGTTTTGTAAACTTTATAGAAACCCCTTCGAAATCGAAAACAAAAAAACACAGAGCCAGGCACGGTCAACGCCGAGGTTCTTCTCCAACGACTGCGGGATCTTAGCGGCTGAGCTCCACACCTTGAGTTTTAGGTGTTTGGCTTTACAGTTTAGGGTCGAGTCTAGAATTTGGGTTTAGGGTTTAGGGTTTAGGGTTTAGGGGCGCTTAGTTGTAGAAGTTTTGGGTCTTAAGGTGTGGGTTTCGGGACTGCTGCCAGGGTTACAATAATACTTTAATTTAGGGATTGCACGAGAGTTCGGGGTGGTGTGATTCGTGTTTTTCGGAATCTTAGGCTTGTCTGGAAGGATGGATGGCAATCTTCAGCCCCGAATTTGATGTTCCATGCCGGTCCCCAGAGGGTCACCATTGCATAAGTGGCCCGCGGTATCATTGAAATTGAGCTTTACCTGGCACTCATCAAGGCTCCTGTAACATCCAGAATTCCATGCCCTGTTTGAATATTGGGGCAGGCGTTGTGGTCGTGATAGCTCGGCAATAATAAAGAGCAGCTGTGGTGGTCGTGCCGGTGATGCTCGACGACGACGACAACAACAACGACTGCGAAGTCACAACGGCTGCTGCAACGACAACGCCCGCCATCGAAAACATGCCGAGTTCGTGAGCTATGGGCATTTGGCACTTGTCAGGCATGCAGCCGGTAAGCTGTAGTTCGTACAGTAGACACAGAACATTCTCGGGTCAAGGCATGGGCAGAATTGGCCTTATGCCGCATACAAAAGCCCCAAACACAAAACAACAAACCCTGAACCATTGTTTCAGAGCAATTTGAACCCTGATGCTTACATTTAAACTCTCCAAGGTTTCCAGCTAATTTCCCAAAGTTGTTTGCCCATCGGTCGCCCCCTCATGGTGTTTAAACCATACGGTGTACTTCTTAAGGCCCGGGCCTCGTTCCCAATTGCTGTAGAACATCCTAGCAAGCCTAGCTCGCAGCTTAACCTACTAGAGCCTACCGCTTTTTTGTGGGATCTTTACATGGAGCTTTGTTTTATTCGAACTGGTTAAGGATTCCATCCCAAAATGGGTTTTTACCCCCCAAAAAAGCCCTTAACCCTACCCTGACCTTGGAGCCTGGGCGGGAGGGAAGCCCGCCAAAGCCAAAATCTGCCCCCGAAGCTGTACAAAAGTGTGCAATACATTAATATACATTGGCGGCTCATTAGCAGTAACACTAGAATCATCTATAATCTATTCTCTGGTATTTACTGCGGAGTATACTAGAACGTCTACTGTTATATGTGCTTTAATGCCCCATAATGCATAAGTTTCAGAGAGCAACATCACCAAACCCTCAGCCCTGCCATTCTTCGGCTAAGGCAAGGCACCAGCGCGAGCCTGATGAGAAACACTCCGATGCCTCCGGCCTGACTGCGATGGCAAGCGAAGAAAGAGCGTGTGTTTACTTGTGTTTCGTTTTAGGGGTTTAGGGTTCAGGGTTTAGGGGTTTAGGGTTTAGGGGTCTAGGGTTTGGGGTTTAGGGGTTTACGGGTTTAGGGTTTAGGGGTTTAGGGTTTAGGGGTCTAGGGTTTCGGGTTTAGGGATTTGGCCAAGTTCTACAAGAGGTTTATAGGGCTTTGCCGTGGGGTTTCATGGTCTTTACGGCTTAGGCTTACGGGTTTGGGTCATGGGATTCGGGGCATGAGGACTCTCAGGATTTTGCTCGCGAGAGCCCAGTGTTGAGCCCTCAAAAGAAAGACCCTAAACCCTAAACCATAGATCCCAAACCTAAACCCTAAATCCTAAATCCTAAACCCTAAGCCCTCATTGTGTCTGGCTCAAGATTGAAGGGTTTATGGGTGCAAAGGTTTGAAGAGGTTGGGGCACAGGGTTTGGGATTTTAGGGCCGTAACTTTGCGGCTTCAGGGTTTAGGGTTTAGGGTTTAGGGTTTTTAGGGTTTAGGGTTTAGGGCTTGAGGCGTTGGGGTTTTGAGGCGTTCGAGTTTCAGGGCTTTGAGTTCTGCAGGTTTCGGGTGGAGAGGGTTCGGCTTTCATCTCTCTAGTTCTTAGTAGGGAATGGGGGAATGGATCCCTACGATAGTCCCTTAAGGTCCCCTAATTATAGTAGTCCCAATAACCCATTCCTCCATTCCCTACTAG